GGATTCGATCCCAAGCTCTGCCTTTCAACATTTCGTTGATGGGTGCACCAGCTGAGCTCTGGGGCTAGGTCCCACTTGCATAAATTATGAGATCTTGACCGTCGATAGCGAAGATCAACGGCCGAAATCTCGTAATCCGTGCAAATGGGACTTCGCCCCTGGTAGGCCACAGCTGGTTCACTTCCTTCTCTTTTTCCCTCCTGCCCGCCTCCGGTTCCCGCCCTTTTTTTTCTTTTTTCCTTTTTCTTTTTCTTCTCTTAATTTTTTTTTTATTTTTTTTTTTTTTTTCATTTGTTTCTTCTTCTCTCAATTCATAGACGATCATTAAAAAAAAAGAAGAAAAAGATATCATCATTGAGCTGACCGGCCCCAGGCAATTCAGAAGTATACTTGGTTTCACTCATCATGTTCCTTCATCTGGGGCTAGGTCCCACTTGCACGAATTAAGAGATACTGACCGTAGATAGCAAAGATCAACGGCCGAAATCTCCTAATTTGCGCAAGTGGGACCTTGCCTCTGCTGGAGTCGAACTCCGGTCAGCGGTTCAACAGTTCATGGGTGGGGTCTAAAATTAATTTATCCTTTCACTACCTACCTACCACGACTCCTAAGGGTTTAGGAGTCAAAAAAGGCTATATAGAGGGGACCCCTGGGGCCATGTCCCACTAGCAGCGTTGAGCTACCTCAACGCCTGAATCTGGACGTGTTTGTCGGGACGTCCAGTTCAGGAAACTCGACACCATTTCTGCACGTCTCCCTAAAAGCGTCCAGATTCAGGCGTTGAGGATACTCAACGCTGCTACCGGTAGTGGGACTTGGCCCCTGCAAGCGTAGCTAAACCTCGCCATGAAGGGATTGGATGTTGGTCCCCGCCACAACAGCAAACTCCCGTCTGTTTTTCCCTTTTTTTTTTTTTTTTTTTTTTTTTTTTTTTTTTTTTGATCCCGTCTGTTTTTCTCCCCTCCGCCGCTCCCGAATTTTCCGCCCCACCCCGCCCGGATTTTCCGCCCCGCCCTCGCGAAAAGGGTGCTGCCGCTGAAAAAAGAAAAAAGAAAAAACAAAGAGGGTGGTGCTGCTGGCGTTTGCAATCCGAAGCCGACGGTCCAGGCTCTGGAGAGGCAAAAATGGCGCCAGGCTCAGGGGATACTGAAGAGTACGACTTTTTGACTGGGCTCTGGACGTGATTGCGGCCAGATACGTTCGTGCGAAGTCGTTGTTCTGACCAGATACGTCCCGGAAAGTGGAAGTGTGAATGAGTACTGTTCAGGACATGGACACAGGCAAACAATAGTACTAGTACAAATACCTTGGTAGGTAGAAGCTTTCTGGTTTCGAGTCCTTAGGACGGACTGAACGAACGAATGTGACCAGGATCAAGGTCGGATGAGTGCTGAAAAGTGCCGGTGTGAGTATGCTACCCCCCCATCGATTAGGGTCAGATCCCACTACCCTGGAGTATTCATTTTTCACCCTCGATTACGAAGATCAACGGTCAGAAATGAACAATAGGGGCTCGTGGGATCTGGCCCAAAGATACTTACCCTCTGGCTGATGGGGTTCTCGTTTTTGTCGTCCCTTTTGAATCTGCGCAGCAGAGCGGCAAAATCCATTCGTTATTAGTTCCCAGTCCCAGTCCCAATCCCATTTCCAGTCCCAATCCCTGTCCAGGCACGTGGGAAACAGCCTAACTAGTAGTGCGGTTTCGTTCGGCGTTTTGTCGCGATGGGAGAGTGGGATACCAACCAGGTAAGGAAGTACCTGGCTGCTGGCTGGTGGAGGAAGGCAAAACGGCCCAAGCCGAACAAGTGGGTGGCTGGTCAAGCTGCTTACATACAACAGCACCAGCGATTGTGTATGGTACTGTAGACGGACGGTTCGGGCCCTGATGCTGTTGATGGGAAAGTAGACAGGGGAAAAAGGTGCGCAGGACAAGGAAAGGGTCCAGAGGAAGAGGTTAGTACCTAGACTTCCTTAGGTAGGTGGATCCCAACCGCTTTTTGGATCCCACTGCCGATTGCAATCCGAATCCCGACAAACAGAGCTGCAGGGTGGCAGGCAAGGGGTTGAGAAGGGAGGAGGTTAGCAGTTGGGAGGGGCAGACAGGAAAAAGGAAGAGGGACGATGGGTAGGTCAGTAGTGGAGAGAAGTAGCCAGCAGTGATTTGAGTGAGAATGAAACAGTGCAGAAGATAGGTAACTGACCAGACCAGGAGCAGGAGCAGGAGCAGCAGCAGGAGGAGGAGGAGGAGGAGGAGGAGGAGGGAGGGAAAGGGGGAGAGGAAGTTGGGAACAGAAAGCGAAGGCAGGGCTAAGATATCCATTGGGAGTTGGGGGAGGGAGTAATGACCACGACAACTGCTTTGACAGCTGTTGGACATTGGCTGGCCTTGAGAAAGAACAGTCCTCTCTTCTGCCATTGCCACTGTTCAGCCTTCCAGAATGTTCATCAGCTGGCCTTCATCACAGATCCAACAACCGCTGGCACTGACCTGCTGCATCTCTCTCACACTGAAAGCTGCTGTTGCCTCTTGCAGCCAACCGCCCGGTACGCATGGTGTCGAAATGACGGAGGGGAGGGAGAGAGGGAGGAGAAAGAGAGGGAAATCAGGGCAGGAACAACCGTGCCATATCTAAACAATGGCTATGACTCCTGTCTCATCTTGAGCGAGTCGATCGAAAGAGAGAAAGGGGGAAATACCCATCGAAAGACTTGGGGAGAGACTTCCTCCTAGGTAGCCCATTCCTCTGACGTGCCATATGTGATATTCATTCTTTCGTTTCTCTTGGTGTGTGTGTGTGTGTGTGTGTGTGTGTGTGTGTGTGTGTGTGTGTGAGAGAGAGAGAGAGAGAGAGAGAGAGAGAGAGAGAGAGAGAGAGAGAGAGAGAGAGAGAGAGAGAGAGGTGCATTTGGAAGGGGGTCCGTCTTTCGTGCTTGTCGTAGAGATCAAGGCCCGCCAATATCTGTGTGCTGACCGCCGAGGGTTTCCTCCTCTTTCTCTCTCTCCCCCTGGGTGCTACGTCTCTCTCTCTGGTACTTCCCCTGCTGTGTATGTTTGTGTGTGTGTGTGTGTGTGTGTGTGTGAGAGAGAGAGAGAGAGAGAGAGTTCCGGGTGAGTGCCACATTTTATAGGAAGCTACTATGTGGTGCCACGTGTCGGCCTGCAGTAGTGGGAATTTGATGACGAAGCTTGGAAGATGAGAGGGGGGGGTTGCGCTTGAGAATATCCGAGGGCAGAGTCGTAACAGACCCCGATCGTGAGTGAATGTGGTCGGAGAAATACGGTCAGATGCATTTTTTTTTTTTTGCACCGTAGCTAAGGCATGCCCGTCCGCCTTGATTGACCTTCCGTTAACAAGGACCAATCAAGGGCTAATCACGTCGTCAGCTACTGTTAGCAGTATTCACATTTTCTTCTGATCTGTAGGTGGGCGGGACTCGATTGCCGGGGTTGATTGAAGTCTCGATCTATTCAGCGCTCATCAATCGGCGGTTATACCCCGAGTACTGAGGTATCAATGGTCGACCAGTGAGTTGATACATCAGTCATTTTCGGTGTGTTGATTGATTGGTTGTGTTTGACCTATCTGTTATGATTTGTTGGTTGATTACTTTGTTGCCTAATCAGCTCATCGGAAGACGTCAGGAGGATTTTCGATCGTAAGCAAGCGTATGTAATCCCATGATTGTTTGGAACTCATGGTGCTGACACGTGGCAGGTGTTTTCTTGATGACAGATTTATTTCCAATTGGAGTTTGATTGGACGGGCCATCTAGGAGCGTTGAAGTACTTACTGAGTCTCTGCTTGCGATCCGCGAGTGTCAGTGGTGTTATAAGTTGCCCAGAAGACGCAACGAAGAAGCTTAAGGGGGGAAGGAGTGTTGAGAGGTTAAAGCGAGGGGGTGTTGCTTCTCTCTCCTCTGTTACTCTTGTGGATTACTTCCCGTTAAGAGAGAGAGAGAGAGAGAGAGAGAGAGAGAGAGAGAGAGAGAGAGAGAGAGAGAGAGAGAGAGAGGGAAGAGGTGGGTAGAGAATTGTGGATTGGGATGTGCTGGTCGTCCGAATGATGTTGATTGGGATCTGTGGATCTCCATCTAGCAGCTGCATTTGTCTGATCGAGATCCAGACTTCTGTCCCGGTCTGTATCCGGTAGGTGCTCTATCTTCCTAACAGGAGGGAGAGGGGCTCAGATCGGTAGGGTTGGTATTCGACTAGAAGGGGGGAAGAAAGGAGGAGGTGGGTGTGTGGGTGGCAGGCAGCGTTTCGTCAGCCACTGTGGATAGCCGAAGAAAATGGTAGAGAGAGAGAGGGAGGGAAGTTTGGGTGAGGTGGTGATGTGCAGAGAGCACCAGGGAGACTAGTCTTTGCAGTCCTGCACTCTCTTTAACGATGATGATCCGATCGTAGAGCACGACAACGTTGGAAGGAGTGGAGAGTTGGGTTAATGTACTGGATATAAGGTCGGTGGGAGGAGGAGGAGTAGGAGGAGGAGGAGGCGGAGGATAAGGATACAAAATTTGGCTGGCTGTGTGCCATCTCCACCATAGCCAATCCTTCATCAAGAGCGATCAATCAAGCCAGTGGGTCCAAGAAAGCAACATCGGTGAGTGCGGATGGCGGTTTTGCATTTTGCTAAATCCTACTCTGTAATGTGGTTCTCTCTCCTGGGGGAGTGATTAGCTGGTGACTGGGAGATTACCTCTCTGAATTGATACGGTGAGGGGGGAGAGAACCCGGGGGGG